AATTTCCCAAAGCAATTCGGTTTGCTTCCTAGAAGACACTATGAGTTACCCACATTTAGTTTGTTTATAGGTGAGGAAAAGAAAGAGAGATGAAGCAACCGGCCTGGCCTGTCTACTGCAGGGAGAAAGCAGCGTTGGATTGAGACTGTCTTGTCTCATAGACAAAGGTATTAAATGTCATGATCCTTATCATAGTCTTTGCTTCTTTTTAATTGGATTATTTTAATTTTTCCCGCAAAAACCAGAATCTCTTTGAGGATCAAAATTACTTTCACTCACTACTGTACTTCTTGGGTTTCAGATCTTCATGGCCCTCATTGCCATAGACGCCCAATCCTTTCTGAGCCTACTTTTCACTCTGACATGATTGAGTTATAGCTTGGGGACTCAGTTTGTGTTTGCCACTGCAGAGTGATCACGGAGTGGTAGAAGACAAACACTAAATTAAGCCTTCTGCCTTGGAAGCCACATTAACCCTTTACCAGCTATGTAATCTGGCATAAAACACTTTACTTACCTGGGCCCTGGTTTCCTCGTTGGTAATGACAGTTCCTTAACTCCTTGGCTTCTTTGTGTATTGAGCTTACATGAATCAGAATCTTAAAACTAAATGCTGGGCAAGCATTAGGTACTGTGATGATTAATTTTTTGTATCCATGTGGCCAGGTTATGATGACCTCTTGTTTAATCAACACTGGCCTAGATATGGCTGTCAAGGGTATGTTTACATGTGATTTAACATTTAAGTCAGTTGACTGAGTAAAACTGATCACATTTCATGATGCAGTATACCCCATACAATCAGGAAATGACTTTGATTTCTAAAAAGAGAAGGAATTCTCTAGACTACCAGACCAATGCTGATCCCAGTTTTTTACTCTCTCTCTCTCTCTCTCTCTCTCTCTCTCTTTCTCCATCTCTTCCTCCACACACACACACCAACAACAACAATTATCTTTATTGTATTGGCTTTGCTTTGCTAATAGAGATGGGATTACATTATGAAACACAAAAGTGAAATGCTGTATCTGATACGACCTTGACTCTGTCATCAAATTAGTTAGGTATTCTCTGGTATTTCTAATGATTAAAAGAAAACTTTCCCTATGTAATATAAGCAAAGGACAGAGAATGCAGTCCTTCACTAACTTAGTTCAAACCTAGATATTTAAGATGGAAATAGATTTTGAAGCTGTAATTCCAACTTTCTCCCATTTTGCTGAAGAGAAATCTGCCAGGCTAAGAGTTGGAGGAAAGCCTGAGGAGTTTAGCATTCATACAGAAGATATCTCACCATAAAATTTATACCCTAAGGAATTTTATTCCATTCCCTAACCCTTTGATGTCCCCACTGAGCTGTGGAAGAGCCATTTGATGTCACATCTCCACCTGCCCCTGTATCCCCACCCTCTGGAAGAGCACTTCAGATTCTTATCCTTCCCATGAGGCGTGCACAGCACTCAGAGGGGAGACCTGACTATAGCCTGGAGGAGCCTAGAAACCTCATCTAATTCATATCCCCATCTCTACTGACTTTTCTATTTCTGGCCACATGCTGATATCTTCTTGATAAAGAACTGCATTTTTTAAATTATTTACTTATCCATTCATTTATTTACATGTATGTGCATATGTGTATTGACATGCACATGTGCCATGTGCCATGGCAAGCATATAGAGGTCAGAGGATAACTTGTGGGAGTTGGTTGTCTTCATTCACCTTGTGTGTCCAGGGGATACACCTTGCTTGGTGGCAAGCCCCTTTACCTGCTGAGCCATCTCACAGTTCTGAGAGCTGCACATTTTTTTGTCACCATGACTTAACTGTGACATTAAATAGGACTGTAACAGAGTCAAGGCAGAAGAGGGTCTTTCTGAGAAAACCCAAGGTTCATTGTAAATGGTAGGGTGAGGATGAAGTGGCGGATCTGAGCAGAATAAGGATTGCTATTTCATGCGAGCTTGCTTATGTTTGGTAAGGTGCATGTATCATCCTTCTTAATACCCACAATAGCCCTAGACTTTGACTTATTTGAAAGGAGTCAACAAAGATAGTGCTTCAATTTCAGGAATTTCTCTATCAGTAAGCATACCAGGACTCACAAAATTGATGCTTTTAATATAATCTTTACTACAATCTCAAAACCTCCAAGGAGTTTCAAAAAGCTATTCTAAGAAGTTGTTAGGCATGTACCAATTGGTTTTAGTATCAGTAACTTTCCTATTTATACTCAAATCCATGTTGAAGATTCATGTATGAACTATGATCATTCTTACATGGAGGACTGTTCAGTGATGCATCCATCCACTATGCTTTTACTTCCTCGGCCATCCTGGAGTTGGCAGGAGCATGTGTCATCACCAAGTTAAAGTCTTTGAACCCACAGACTTCTGTTCTCTCATCATCATCCATTTCTGAGAATCAGGGGGTACTGCCCCTTGGGACCATTTGACTTCGTCCACTCTCTTCCCTCTCCCTTGCTTCCACTTTTGCTAGCATCTCTTTCTGTGTCTCTTCTACTGGTTGTTAGTCTCAGCAATGAGCCCAAGCATCAGTCATGTGTGCATGTGGAGTACCCAGTGGGCTCTTTGCTGCTCACGTACATACTTTCCTCCCCAGGAGCATCTCTCCACTATGTGACTCTGGATACTCCAGGTATTACAGCTGAAAGAGAGACTGAGAAGTCACTATCTCAGAAAGGAACATCTCTCACCTCCTGGACCAAGAAGCCCAATGGTAGGACATCCAGACCCATCCCAAAACCCAGTTATGTTCAATGGACTGGTTCTTACAGAGAAAAATTAGAGGATAGTGATCCAGGCATGAACTACAGAGAAAAACCACTGAGCAGAATGCTAACACTGCATTTTAGAAATATGACCCTTGACTAAGTGACTAGACATCTGTGACTATAACCTTCACACAAAAGTAGCACAGAAAAGACCGAGCTTCATATGTGACGAGGGTGTAATACTCACAAGTGTAAGCTTTAGACTTGAAAGACCACTTAGAAGTCAATCCTAATTTTTGTTGATTGGAAAATTGAAACAGAGAAAAGAAGTAATTTGTGTAATAGTGCATGGCAGACTTTTTCCCTGGTTACTAGGACCATTACCAGCCTTTTTAGAATCTTCTGGATCACATATTTTCTTACTATTTATGTTTCATATATGAAAGTCTGGTGTCTGTGAGTTGTTTTTCATCTTGGGTTAGTGGAGTTACATTGAGCTATTATCTCATCTGTTGCTGCTCTGTGTTAGGGACAGAAAACTAGACAGGATTAGGCTGTCAGAGATGAGCATGGAGCAGTGCAGTGAGTAGCTCACCGCAGCCTCACAAACACAGTTGTGGGTGGTGAAGTAATCAGCCTCACACAGACTTGGATTTAAAAAAAAAACAAAAACATAGGGCCCTGTTGACCGCAGAATTTATGCCTCTAATTCCCTGCCAATTGTAGCTTGATAGAAGCAGGTCCTAATGCAGACTTAAGTGACTCTTACCCAAACGCATTTGTTTAATTCAAATCTTGTCTTTTAAAAGCGAGCTTTACCCCCAAAACTGAACAAAAAACGATGAGACTGCATGATTTGCACAATGATGATCTACGGGAAATTCTGAGTACCAAACCTGATTGATAGTTTTATGTGCCCAGCCTTACAGATACCAGGAAGGTTTTCATCTGAACCTACAGAGTAGCACTGCTGCAGGCCCAGGATCTGAGGGCACAGCACTGACACAGCCTTGCCCTGGTGTCTTGCTTAGAGCCCCTCTGAGTTCTGTGGAGGCTGGAGAAAAACAACAACGCACACTTGTTTTAATCTTGCTGACTTCAAATTAAGTTGCTTCTTCCTGCTCCTGTGCCATCCTCTTGCTGCTCCCCAGTCCTGCAGAGCACAAGGCATTTTCCCTGACCATCTACAAAACAGGTTTGAAAACAACCAGCTGTGAGTGAGGGTGGTGGGGCTTAAAAAAAATGTCTTCCTTGTGGGGCAGTCTAGCAGTTTCCTCAGTGTACAGGGCCTCTCTTGTTTTCTCTTTCATGTGTTTATTTTTGTCTCCAAGTCTCTTGTTTTAACATAGAAACTTCTCCCATCAAGCCCATACCACATGCAAAAAATGGGGAGAAACATCTTCATTATTCCCAACCACAGCACAGACTTCTGGGTAAAAATGAAGAAGAAAGCTTTAGTGGCCTATACAGGGAAGCTAAGGCTGGATAGGCCTTAGGAGATGGCATCTCTGCCTCTGCAAGGTGCTGAACCTGACCAGGTTCCTCTACCCCAGCCCTGTTATGGTTCACTAAGGAGACTGTTAATATGAATTTGCAGAATTTCATCAAGTAACTCATCACTGGAGCATCTACACTAAACAACCTGCTTTAAGGAAAAGGTGTGTGTGTAGTGTGTCATGTGTTGGGTATGTGGGGTGTGTGTGTGTGTGTGTGTGTGGTATGTATGCATATGTGTGTGGTGTATGTTGTATGTGTGTGTGGTGTGCATGGTGTGTGTCTATGTGTGTGTGTGTGGTGTGTTGGGCGTGCTGAGCATTTTCAAAAGGAGGACAAGAGATCAAAAGACACATTTTTCCTTCAGAAGGAAGGGAGAGAGGGAAGGAGGGAGGGAAGGAGGGAAGGAGGGAAGGAGTTAGAAGTGCTCCTTAATAAAGTACTAAAAGATGGGTTTCTGCATGGCTCCATTTTTCATCTTTTTTTTTTTTTAACTGTTTTTAGTGTTTACACATACACAGTAACTTTTGCGTAATTACGGAGTGAGACGAAGGAAACCCATCAGGAGCTAGGAGAGAAAGGAAGGGGGACTGCACCTACCCCTGGCCCCCCTCCACTTACCTGCTCGCCCGCAGGATGCGCTCCCGGGAGCGCCGAGTGAAGGCTGGCGCACAGCACTCCTGTGGGGACAGCCCTGAAACCGCCAGGGGGCGCCGGTGCCTGGAGGGGCGGAGCTGCTTAAAATCCCCGCGCCGGGCGGTTCCGAGTCTCAGATCCGACTCGGACCCCGAGAACCGCGGCCACTTCTCGCATCCAGACTCCACGGCCACTTGGGACCTGAAGCCGCCGGGAGCCTGGGCCCTAAGGCGCAGCTAGCTGGTCCTGGCAGTGACTTGCTCCGCGCGGCCCCGCAGCTTCACCAGCCCAAGTGCGCACCTGGCCGACTCCGCCTTGTGCACCTGCCTCCGAGGGAGCAGGAGCCTCCTAGCAAGTCATGGCCAACGCGGGGCTGCAGCTGCTGGGCTTCATCCTGGCCTCCCTGGGATGGATCGGCAGCATCGTTAGCACTGCCCTGCCCCAGTGGAAGATTCACTCCTATGCGGGGGAAAACATCGTGACTGCCCAGGCCATCTTTGAGGGGCTGTGGATGTCCTGCGTGTCGCAGAGCACCGGACAGATCCAGTGTAAATTCTTCGACTCCTTGCTGAATCTGAACAGTGAGTGCACCCCTCAGCCCCGCCGGCCTCGGGGTCTCTTATCTCACCGAACCCCTGTTGCTTCATTCAGCCTGCACTGCTGTCCTGTGATGGCAGGATTACCCTCTCTAGGTTGACCCAGGTTTCTGACTTGTGCTCTGTTGTGAGAAAGTGGAAAGAACCCCAGCCTCACGCCAAAGGTCCAGTTTTGCCTCCAAGTCTCTGCTTGGCAACTTCTGTCCCTCTCAGTGTGGTTTCGCCTCAAATTCCAATCAGGGTGGGTGGAGTTGGAGAAAGAGTGAGAGCCAAAGCTGAGCTTAGGTAATTAGGCCCCTTCTACACACTAACGATCAGTAGAATTTGGTCAAGAAAATGGTACACTTTGGGTGGGCTTTGAGCAAAGTTAAGTAGATTATTCCCAAATATCAAATAAGAATCGTTCCAGCTACTTTGTCTCCTACAATATCTCCTACTAAAATTAAATCTTTGTCTCTTCACTTTTTCTCCTTGAAGAACCCGAGATCCCCCACACCTCCCAGGTTTGGCGTCTTGGGAAGTGGTAGACTGTACACTGTTGGGTTAGAAAGGAGATTGGTGGCATGTAGGGAAAGGGTGACAGAAGAGAAAGGTTTGCAACAGAGAGAAGGCACAGATGCCAAGTGGGAGCAGTTGAGGGAAGCAGATGTCAACCAGAGAAGGAGAGGCGGTTAGAGAGGAAGGAGTTTTCTCTTCCCAATTCCCATGTGATGGTTGACCAGTTCTCAAACATCAAGTTGGAAAGGATTGTGTAGAGAGAAATACTAGAGAAGCTAGGGAGACAGGTGATAGGACTTGCTCTCTCTTCCATTTACATAGTGATTTTGAGTGTCTTGTTTAAACAAATACATTAAATTCCCACCTAGATAATGCCATGATTTCACAGTTGGTTTAGCCTCCTCAAGAAATCAAAGTAGTTGTGTTCAGTGTCTCCCTGCCCTTTAACATGAAGAAAGCGCTCTTAGCGTTTGCCTGAGCAAGGCTCCTCAGCAGTCTCGTGTGGGCTAAGGTGAACAGTCCTAGTATTGTCCCCTCCTATCAGGGAGCAGCTTGTGTACATCTCAGCAAAAGCCATGCACTGTACAGTTATAAAACCTTTCCCAAATCTGTTGACACTCAAATACCTGTAGAATTTGGTCAATGTGCTTTTGTCTATTTTCATTTCATATTTTCAAGGTCCCCACATCAGGACTGTTTTAGATCAAAATTAATGTATAAGTTTAGTAAGTATTTGTTGGTTGTTAACCTCAGGCTACTACGACTGGGAAACAATAAGCTTTCCCATGGAAAGAGAACTTCATTAAAGGAAATAGTGTTGGGTACTTCCAATACCATTCATGGAACCTGCAGGTAGAGAGGTGCTATGGCAACTTCCCGTCCAGTTTTTTTCCTCTAACCCAAATTCTTCATTTGGTAGGTTTAACTTCCCTAAATGGTCAAATGGAGCAAGAGCGATTCATGATACAAGTATTCAATCACATAATCTTTGCCCTCAATACTATGTTAAAATATTCTATTTAATTTATACCTAATTAATATAGTTGTTATGTTTCCTAAAGCTCTGGTGCAAACAGTAGATATTTTGCACATTTTCAGAAACTTCTTGTTTGTTCATGTGCTTCAGCTGAGAACAGGTTTCCGCTTTCTGTTTTGGTTAAACTCATAGTTTATTCAAGATGGAGCCCAGACCTGTCTCCCTAAACCAATTCCCAGAAAAAGGAGTCTTGGCTCACATGGCCTCTCTCCCAGCTGAGCAGTGATTCACTGGATGCCTTTGGACAGAGCCCAGAAAGCCCATCTCTGCTTCTTTACCTGAGCAGTGGTGCTCACACCCACCTGATGGAGAGATCTGGGTGATGATTCATTGGCTGGTTTTGGTCTTGTTTTATGATGCCTAGAGATGAAAAGGATTGTCTGTGTATATGAGCAGTGTGCCTCATGAAAGGCCACGCTTCATGAAATGCTTTGAGTTGAGAAGGATGGCCATAGGTTTACAGAAATTGTACCTTGCCCTCTTTGCCAGTAGAGCCCTCTTGGCATCTTAGCATACAGATACAGGAGTATGCCAGTGTTATATAACTAGATATAAAAGTCTCCTTTTATCTGCTCTACCTGGTATCAGTTGTCAAAACTCTTACAAAGTATACAGAAAATGCTGTATGATTACACTCTGTACAGGATATACTGCACACAGCCTGAAGAGACTTGGCAGGCCAGAATTTAGGCAGCTTTTGCCAAGCAGTTTGCAAAAATGTAACTGAGAACTTTCTTGGAGAAAGTGTGTTACACTGTGAATGATGGTCTTAAATGGGTAATACAGTTTCCGTTCCCATCCACTGATGTTTATAGACATTGATGACCCTTGGGGCTGAAATTTGCAACATACAAAAGGGAGGGCCAGGTACAATCACAGCAGAATTTTCTTCATTAACATATACATTTTTCCCAGGTTTGAATTATACTTCTAAGCATTATGGGAAGCTGGTTTCATGCGCTTAGCTAATTGCTTCCTCTTGCTTCACTTTAACAGCTAGCACTGTCCAAAGATGGGGCTCTCCTGGGAGGCTGCGTGTTGGGAGGTACCAGAGCAGAGAAGAAGTAAGCGTTTTTGTAGGAATGCTCTTGGGAAGATCCAAGCACCAGACAAATGGGAGGTTATGCTAGACTCTCTTTAAGTCTCATCTACCTCTGAAATTCTGTAATTTGTTTATAAGCTACTCTAGCCTGTTAAACTTGCTCTGCATGAATCCACATGTGTGTAGGTGTGTTTAATGAGTATTGGTTGTCATGAGGTTTCCCAGCACTCTCACCATGATGTCAAGCTCAATCAGAAGAGCGAAATCACTGACTTGGACGTCTGTGAAGCAAGGCAGAGAGGAGGGTCCAGCTTAGGCTTCTCCAGAGCAACTCATGCCTGCAAAATGAACACTTAGGAAAGCCATTGGTCTTCAGTGTGACTCTGGATACGAGGGAAATTAGAAAAGACTCCAGGCCTAAAATGAAAACTTCTCTAATTCTCACTCCAGTTTACACTACTAAGGGAGAGCTATTCTCCCTGGTCTAAAACAGATTCACCACTTATAAAATAGGGCAGAGTGGGAGGAATGGAGGATGAATCAAAGATCCACTCATCCATTCAACAAACCTGAGTTCAGCCCTATTCTCACTTGTAGGAAGGCAGCTCAGGTGATTTCTAAGGTTCTATCCAGGCAATATTCTTTGTTACTAATTTCAGTGAGTTAAGGCGGGAAAGCAAGTAACACAGCACAAGTTTGCTAGGTTGGAATGATGATTGTCATGGAAGAGATAATAGAGGGCATCAGTTTCATCATGTGGTGTTTAAAGAAGCAAATAATAAATTTTTAAAAAACAGAGAGCAAACTCTTCAGGACTTTCTAAAAAGTTCTAGTCCTTCCTCATCCTGATCCACTTGGGCTACTGACTGTGCTTATGACCTGAGGTGCTTACCAGTTCATGCACCAGGAAAATGGACATGCTAAGGATGAGGGCTTGTGAAACTGAGAACATCAGCAACAGTGAAAGCCTTAATAATTGTAAAACCTCTAGCAGTATCATTCTGTAATGATCTGAGTAAGCTCATTTAGTTGTATGAGAGAAAGAGAATTTGTGTTCCAGTCACACTGTGGACAGTTCTTTATTCTTCTGATATTTATTAGCTCATACTATAATGAAGGACTGTGTGAGGACAGAAATGCCATTAAAATCTGTTTTGTTCATGATACATAGTACATAGGGTAAGACTCTGGTGATCGGTTTAGTAAGTAGCATAAAATGTCAGGCATTTACGGGCGTTTTGACTGCTTGGATGGCGAGTCTTTAAAGCTTTAGAAAAATTTTCATGCTTGTCTGTGCTTGTCTTTCTATACTGTGTCAATTAAAATAACTGTAGTAGAAGGGTAATGTCTAACTTATTTCTTGTCTTATAAGTAGAGGTCTTTGTAAGTATTTTTTAAAATTATACTTTCAGGTTGAAAGTGGTAAGAACTCCTTAGGGGGTCTTTAAACTACAATTACCACTCTGCTTGGGTGTAATTAAAAGGCTGCTTTCCTGTTTACTGCTGAATAATGCAGAGAAACAATTGTGTAGCTTTTCCAATATTTGCTACCCAGATTCTCCACATCTTTACTTATCATAATGTTATACTTATCATGTTATAGCTACAAATTTAAAAATCCAGGTGAAACATCTAAATGGTACCAGTTTTGGTCCTGTCGGACCAGTTCAAAGGTAATATTGCATAGCCGCGTCCCTGGTCCAACTATGTGTAGCTTTCAGACACTGTCTCAGCTTTGTTCTGCCTTTGTCATTCTGCTGAGAGAGAAGGAAAAGAGAAACTTCCAGAGTTTATAGAATGCATAACTTTAAAAACTAGATCAAATTAAGCAAAAAGTAAAAATATTCCTGCAATATATGGGCTTTTAGCATTTTATTTTGTTAATTTTTACAAAATCTTTATTGAGAATTTCATACATGTATATAAGGTGTTTTGTTCAATCTGCCCACTCTCCTTTCTCCAACCAGGGAGCAATGGGCTGGACCTCTGGTTTTCTGGTGCATCATTTTTTGTTTTTTCCTTCCCCCCTCTGAAGAGGTAACCCTAAAATCTTTTAAGGATTAAATACAAACTCCCAAATACTTTTGACATTTTTGACCTTTGGAACAGAGTATATTGCTATAAGCTCCCAAATACTTTTGACGTTTTTGGCCTTTGGAACACAGTATGTTGCTAACAGTCCCAAGGACGTTTTGACTTTTAGCCAAGACTGCCTAGCCAATTCCTACGTCCTGGACTGCCTAGCCAATTCCTACCTCCTATTCTTATCACACCTTCCTCTGAAGGGATTACCCAAACTGCCAATAGGGAATAGGGATGCTGATCACTCTGGCCCTTTCCATGCTGAGCAGGGACTCAGGGTAAGGCAACTGGAGTACCCCTTCAGTGGGTCTATCTAAAAGACTCCCAGATTGCATAACTGTTGTCTCTAAGGGAAGAAGAAAGTCCTTGAATCGTGAATAGGAGATGTGAAGGAGAAGTAAAGGCAAGAGTAATTAGCATTACAAGTTCTAGACAGGGAACTAGAAAAAGTCAGAACAGAGCAATTTTCAAATATTCATATGAGAGTCCATTGAAATTTCTTGACAAGGGCTTTCTAAAGCATCCCTTTATTGGGTTCTTCCTCATTATTAACCAAGTTTGAAATTATGTAGCAAAATTTTAACATCTCTTGGCACTCAGAGGAGGTGCTGATCAGATAAGTATTATTTTGAACAGTGAGTTAAATTAGCACATATTTTATGCATCCTGTTATCGCCATTGTTGGAGTATAAAGGCATCCTTCTAGTTCACATTCACCCAGGATAACTGAAGGAAGCATGCAGCTTTCCAGGTATCCTGAGCAGTGCTTCAGGTGGAAACAAGCTTCTGATTGCATCTTATCTGGGGACTCCAAGTTGTATACTTTACACCTCTGACTTGGAGCCTTCCACAAAACCTTCATATGAACAAATTCATCTAACTCCAACTGAAAACTGTGCAAATCAGATTTGACTTTCACATACAGTCCTTATAACAATAGTCTCTTGGTTGACTTGTGATTCCTCATTACATGTGCCCACTTACTACACTATATGCTATTAGGGTTCTCAGCCATTTCAACTATAATATGGTGAAAATCTGCATTATTTTTGTATTTTCTCCACGTAGCATTACAGTTAAGAATTGTCCAGTGACTCCGTTCAATGCCAATCTGATATTATAAAAAGAGAGAATTCAAAAGTCAGTGGCTTCCAGCGATAAAGATTGCTTTACCAAACAACATTCTTATTCTATACTGCTTTATTGTGTATGTAACTGAAAGTCACCCCTTGATGTCTATGGCTTTGTGATTACTAACCATTTTTTCCATTGTTTTCATTTCTGTGTTTTGGACAAAACCCACCATGTCTGCAAGGAAATGAAGCACTGTAGCGTTGTGAGCAAGCACAGAATAGAATATCTTTTATTTTCTCCTTGACTTTACAGAAGTTAAAAAAAAAGAAGGTGTGGCATGGAACATAGCTGCCTTCTTGCCAACAAAGAAGAAAATTTTCAAGCTTAAAATTGTGACTATTAGATGGTTCTAAGTGGGTGTAGATGGAGCCTCCAGTCGATTATGACTGTGGGCTCCTTCCATGGAAGATAAGAGGTTTTATAAATCTTATTCTTGTGACTGATCCTTAGGAATGTCCTGAAGGATGTCTTAGGCCTAGAGCTCATACCTTCAGGGCTATTGGTCTGCTGTTTTGACTTCATGAATGGCTCATAATAACTATTTTATGAGCTAAGTCAGGTAGTAGACTTTGTCACTTGGGCACAGTGGAAAATTTGCAGAGAGATCAAAGAAAGCACAAAAATCATTGATACAGGGTTAGCAAAATAAATATTTATGATAAAATAAAAAAGAGGTGTCTGTGAGATGAAGAGAATGGATGTCGTGGACTACCATAATGGTAGTGTTTTCTAATTATATTATCTCTGCACTGGAGGTCAATGTCAGGTCACCCCACCTTAGGATCTTCCAGTAACTTCAGATTACATATAGAATAGACTCTGAACCCCTGAACTCCTGGCTCTGGCCTACAAAGTTCATATATATGTGTATACATGTATGTGTATATATATATATATGTATAGATCATATTATGTATATGTATAATATTCCTTCTGCCCACTTTGTTAAATTTCATTTCCCTGCATAAATCTTGTCACTCATCAGTAGGATTACAGCTCCCCCAGTTTACTCTAGATCCAGGGACTTCTTATGATGCTGGACTGTTACTTGAAAATAAGGAGTGACCTGGGTTTTCCCTCTGAATTGGATTTTGGGACCAAATCTGAACTCGGTGTTATGTATAAGAATATAATTATTTAGCTTTTCGTTTTTCTTGTGAGTAATAATTGTCTTTGTAAACACTGCTAGCAAACGGGAAGGAAGTACACACCTTAACTAGGAGCCCTTGGTACTTTCCTCTTCACACCACAGCATGGTTTGTGATTCCAAAGAAAAGTTTCCTAATAGTCATGAGAGCAGCCCCTTCATTTCCTAGGAACGCAGTGAGCCGCAGAACACTGCTTTGATCCAGCAGTTCCTGTCTCCCTGCAATCTGAGATACGTGTGAGAGAGGGTGTACACATGTACTCATGCACACGTAGGAAGAGGTGAATTTGGAAGAGGAGGCAGAGAGTGTACTGTTTTGTATATTAATGAAAGCTAGTAAAAATTCCAATTATCATTGAACAACTGTAGAAATATTTTTCATGTTTCTAAGAAGGGGACTAGTGGGATTTTGTCATTGATTGTAATAAAGGGGTAGAGGTAACTATAAGCTAAAATGTAATGGTGTTACTGAAGTTGAACATAACTAGGATTGGTATCCTAACTTCGCAGTCTTGAACATGTGAGGACTGAGTCTGTGGACACATCAGATATCAGAGTTCTCATCATCTCAGCCACTCTGGAAGACCATCCAAGAGTGCATCACCCTGGCACCCTGGATAGAGATATCATGATTCTTACTTTATAAAATACAAACATGGTCTCAAAAAATACTAAGTAGTTTATCCAAGATCCTACAGTTTATTGCAATGTAAATGTCTTCATATACAAAGATCCCATTCACATATTAAGGCTGTCATTCAGTCGAAAGAGGAAATAAATCTATAATTTAAATAAGATCTTCTAACCCCCAACTCTATGCCTTTATATCACACTAATGATATTCAGGTTTTATTCTTTATGAAATATGCTGGCTTGATCTCAGACCTGGTCTTGTCTCTGATTGTGATTTAGCACACCAAAGATAAGAACAGGACATTAGAAAATTTGTGGAAACCTGAGAAATCTTAGGTAGGATTATTATGTCCGATACAATAGCATGAGAATATTAATAGTTTTTAAAACTGGTGGTGTCTTTTGGTATGAATCTTCTACTATATTCAAGGCAACTTCTCAAAGTTTGCTTGCTTTCTTCTAAGAATATAGCTGATGCATCCTTCCCCACTCAAACTGTTATAAACTAGTGCTAAAACGCGGTTACCTAGTCATAATAACATGAAAATTTCATTTGTGCCTCATATTCATCTGGTTTTTCTAAAGTTTAATGATTACAGACTAAAACTAGTGACTTTTATTAAAGATATATTTAAGCCATTTTAATTACAAATGGCAAATATTAAGCATAGTGTGTACGATTGTTCAGAATCCAAATACTCAGCTAGTAAGGCTTAGATATGAACTAGTTCAATGAGACTCTTCAACTGTATCCTTGGTTATTTTTACAGTTGATTTAAAAACAAAGTGTAGAACTAAAGTGCCTCCTATTCATCCTCTAGCCTGGGTGTCTTTCTAGAGAAAGTCTGTTGGCTACCAACAAAAATATCATTACAGCTGTGTTCTCTGGACTTCTTGCTGGGTTTTCTTTCTCCCATACAACACTGAAATACCACTCTTCCTTTGCTTGTTCAGGCATGATTTTTACATTTTCTAAAACATTTCCTACCAGGCACTTTGCAGGCCACCCGTGCCTTGATGGTGATCGGCATCTTGCTGGGGCTGATTGCAATCTTCGTGTCTACCATTGGCATGAAGTGCATGAAGTGCTTGGAAGACGACGAGGTGCAGAAGATGCGGATGGCTGTCATTGGGGGAGTGATATTTTTTATTTCAGGTAGGAGAGGCCAGGTTCCTCCTTTCCCCTTACCAACTTTTTCCAAATATGGTTTGAAATCTGGTTTTCAGTTACTTTAGGATATATTGGATTCATTGTATTTGAAGTTATTTCAACTCTCTTAACCTCTGAAGACATGGCCCACAATGTTAGTTGAGTTTCATGTTCTCAGTAGGAATCAAATGTAAGTTTGGCTTGGGTACACATATGTCAGGTATATCCATGAAGTTTCCAGATACCCACTCATTTGCTTTGCTCAGTCTCTGCAGGTGCAGAGAGGTGTCTGATACATGCTAACTATCAGGACCAATTTTATATGATTCAGAAAATGCTTACCAGATAAGGTGGTGCATGCCCATAATCTCAGCATATGGAAGATAAGTATAGGAAGATCAGGAGTTCAAGGCCAGCTGAGGATACATGAGGACCTCCTCACCCCTGTCTCCAACATACACACAGACAAGGAGACACACACACACACACACACACACACACACACACACAGAAACCCAAAGAATGTTGATAATGTCGTTCCATATATTTTGATAGAGAAGATAGGGAAAACTTAGAAAATACAAATAATATGTGAACCATCCAAGATTGGGAAAGATGGACTCCAAGCTATCAGAGAAAGACGAGGACAACATTCCAGATGGGTAGCTCTGATTCCAGAATAAACACAATGTATCCATAGACCAGAGAAAAGATAGGCCAATTAGGGTATAGGTGGAATGTTGACAGGTAGGATGCAGGGTTAGCAGAGCTAGGAAAGAAGTCAGTACAGAAAAACCTTTGGAACTTGTTGTTGATTAAAATAATATGGCTGTATGTCTCACAGAAAACAAGTAGGTATACTTTCTGCTTTCTTCAAATGTTCATTGACCCACAAGAAACATGTTTTCTGAGAAAAAGAAAACTAAAAGATGACGTGATTTCAGAACTTTATAAAGCTTATTTTAAATGTGATCCATAGTATAGATATACTCTGTAAATATCATTATATGTAGACATAATACATAGACTAAGTAATACACACACACACTCTATTGTATAAGTGTTGTAATCTATTGGTTTTGGAAAAGTATTGTTGATATAAATGAACTTCGAGAGAAATGAGAATTAGACTTTTTCTTCTTATTTCTCTTATTCACAGACTAGTAGGGGCTTTTGCTCCAGCACACCACAAGGATTTAGTAAAAAATGAAGGGTGTGTGTGACTTGCTAAAGATGTGGTTAAAATGACCAGCTGTTCTTTTTATCCAAACATAAATTCATTCCTACCTGAAAAGGTATGAATGGCATTTTATTCCTAACAGTTTGACCTTATACTGATGGCTGGGTATAGAACCGCTGAACCCTTCTCCATGATTCCCATATGTGACTATGGCCGTATATAACTTTCAATTCAATTTTAGGATGGTCTCAGGACTGTAGGCAGCAAGTCCATGCACATACACATCATCTTCTTGCACAGCCAGCATGATCTTGCATACTTGGACTGCTTTTTTTGAGAAGGCAGAGATTAGCACAGAATTAAACTATTCGCTATTGATCAATTTTTAGAATTGCTGTAGAAAGAAGTTACTTGGCTCTGTTTTAAATTTGTTTTGGAATTGACAATGGTATTTTGAAGTACATATACATTCTACAATGAATAAATTGTGACAGTGTATGCTTTGCCTCACTCAGTTTTCATTTCTGAGGTAAGAACACTTACAGCAACTCCCTAGCAGTTTTCAAGGATACTATAGTAACTATATTGTACATTGAATCCCTCAAGGTTATGCCTGCTGTCTAAATGAAAATTTGCATCTTTTGACCAAAATCTCTTTAGATTAAAAAATGAGATGGTTAGACTTTATCTACATGTTGAGTGAGTGGTATTGCCCAAGTAATTTCCCTGCAATACTGAATACAAAATGCCATGAGCAATTGGGTTCAGTTACATAAAGCAATCTACTGTGTCACCTCACCAAACGGTCCTAATGTTAGGTATTGCTTTAGACCCGGGTAGGAGGAATTTGGGTGCTCTGGTCTAATCTGAGAGAGGATCTATTCTCTGTGCTCCCTAATTCCTTGTTTTGCTTCTGGCCTAAAAGAAATATCAGTTTTGAATTTGTCAAGAAGAATGCAGAAAGGAATTGCTTTTGACCTTCAGTGAGAAACTCTATGCTAACACAATGTTGTTTTTTTTCCCCAAAATTGGTTTAATATACTAAACTACAATACTGTAGACCCTTTGAAGGAGGTCTTGAACCAAGAAGAACCTGCTGTTTCTAAAGAACATTATTTGTGCCAGTGACTTGAACTATAAATAAGATGTCATAACTAGCATAAACTATCCCTAACTTCAGCCTAATATTTTTGTAGCTCTTGGCAGAACAGTTGTAATAAATCATACCCAAAAAAGATTTATATTACTAAAAGAATCTATCAGCTCTCTTGATGAGATTTAATTCTTATAGAACACGTTTATGGGTAATAGTCTATTTATATTCAGTGTTCCATAGTAATTAATGGTCTTTTTTTTAATTTCTGTAGGTCTGGCAACTTTGGTAGCCACAGCATGGTATGGCAATAGAATTGTTCAAGAATTCTATGATCCCATGACCCCTGTCAATGCCAGGTAATGTTAGTCATGCATAAAATATTTTATTCTCTGAAAAAAATGCCCTTTTTATGTTTGTAGAGACCTGCTAGTGATATAGTTTCTCAGATTTGCTTTCAATAATTGTATGGAATTTTATGTCAGACTTGCAAACAATTTAAATGACATGACTCGTGCTAAAATGAATTGGATTATTGCTTTAACAGCTAGTATTGATGACAAAATGCACTTCAAAGGAGAAATGTTTAAATTTCTACCCAACTGTGTACTGTATCTATTTTCTCTCTCCCCCAAATATTATTAAAAATGCTAATATATGTGACATTCTTTTTGAAGTGTATTCTGATTTTTCCAACACCTAACTATGCTTACTTGTAGCTAATATACAGTTTGTGATTGATTGCAGACCATATTGCCACCAGAATGGTTATAAATAGGGCATCATTTCCAACAATTAATTTTTCTGTGTGAAACCATGATGTATTTTTCTAGTACATTCAGTTGCCACATTGAAATTTCACGTTCCACCGCAACTATCAAGTTGGCTTTGCAAAGGTCATCTTTCTTAATATTCCGAGCTTTGCAAGTTCAAGGGCTGAGTCCTGGCTCTTGGGTAACAATGCTCTTTGATTAGGGACAAGGCTTACTGTCTTTCTGTCCTCCCATCTTTAAAGCTTAATAACCACATTCAAAGCCAGGATGTTAAGATGTAATTGCTGTTTGTAAGTGCTATGGTGACCGAATCAAAAATCTCAGTGTTTGCAGAGATAAGTGTGCTTCTTTTTATATACTCACCCACGTACAGAAAAACATAGACTGCAGTGATTGTTGGAGCCCATCCCATAAGATTTATGATGCAGGGACAGAAACTGCTAGAGGTCAATAAGCCAAATTTTCAGTGAAGCAATAATATCAGCAGTGCACGTGAAAGTACGTTATAAACTGCTGGGCAGTGGACACTTGTTATTGGACCATGGCACAGGATCCTGAATGCTATCTAGAGAGGCAGGTGGGACCATGTGCTTCGAGGGAAGAGAGTGGGTGGGAATAAAGCTCCTGGTCCAGAATTGCAGCCAGTGAGCTTGCATCAGGCCTTGAGGCTTGAAACCTCTCCCAGCCCTTCTTTCTCTTGATGTCCACAGTCAGCAGAAGATTCTTCACCCCAGTAATGTGGTTTAATATGTCCACCTGTATCAACTTAATGCAGAATCAGTCATATGATATTCAGAAGTCTTTCTTTCAAAATATAAACTTTGTATGTCAGTTTTTGTGGGTACTGGGATCACCTATAAGGAACAAAGTGTTTTTCTTACAGAAATGGTTGCTATTTTTTTTTGTCTTTTTTTTTTTTTTTTTTTTTTTTTTTTTCGGGTTCTCTCAGCTGTCTTGAGACAGGGTCTCCCTGTAGTCCCAGCTGGCCTGGAACTCACTATGTAGACCAGGCTGACCTTGAACTCACAGAGATCTGCCTGCCTCTGCCTCCCGAGTGCTGAGACTAAAGGCGTGCACCACCACACCCAGCCTAGAAATATCAGTTTTGAATTTGTCAAGAAGAACGCAGAAAAGATTTGCTTTTTACCTTCAGTAAGAAACTCTATGCTAACACAAACAATGGGATTTGAGAATAGAATGACTTAGTGATAGCCTAGGACTGTGGCCCAGTCTAGGACTGTGGCCCAACCCTCACTTCTAAACATTTACACATACTTCACAAGCCTCCTTTATGTGGGAAAGTCTTTGGAAACATTTGTGTAATTACAGTAGTATTGCCTGTCTTATTGCTGATGAGCTGTTGTAAATTGTTGATAATTACAACACAAACATTCTTGTGTGGATATGCTTACACATCTTAGAACAGCTTCTGGTGGGTTATGGAGGTTATTTTTGATCAGAAAAAAATAATAATGTATAAGGCACTGATTTCCTTCTCTAAGTATGTTAGAAAACTTGCCAGTGGTCTGGGTCTACCGTATGTCACTGTCTTTCTTTCAGGTATGAGTTTGGCCAGGCCCTTTTCACTGGCTGGGCTGCTGCTTCCCTCTGCCTCCTGGGAGGTGCCCTACTTTGCTGCTCTTGTCCCAGGAAAGCAACCTCTTACCCAACACCACGGCCTTATCCCAAGCCTGCACCTTCCAGTGGGAAAGACTACGTGTGACAGAGCCAAAAAGAAGTGATCCTGTTGGAGCAAATACAAAATGGACATGAAAACTTTCATGGACATTGAAGTCTTAGACTGATGACTCTGGTTATCTGAACTGTGGTATTGTAAAAGAAAGCATATTTTTATAAATACCCATTGCTAGAAGGGGCTTAGCTGTGCCTTGTCTTCTTTCCTGAGTATAGGAGGGAAGCCTTTTGTATGTGAACTGTGGCTTCCTACTGAATAATCACACTCAAAAGAGGAAAGGGTGCTTCTTAAGTGTGTATAGATATGTATATATACATATTTTCTATAAAGATTAGATAGTAAAATAACCTCTTATTCTCATTATGTTGATACCACCATAATCAAAATGTCTCTAAAATATAAAGTATACATATGATTCCATATAAGCCTTCTGAGGTGTTATTCTTTCTCTCTATAAATATACATAATCACTCAAATACCACCGCTGTGATCAGCTTACAGTATCTTTGACACAAGACCAAATTTCTTTACCAAGTATGACTTTACTTTCTTTTCCATGATGTTCTTTTCATCACCATATTCAATTATTTTTTTACTCTGATTATTAACAATTGCTTTTCATCAGACACTTATTTTAGGAAGACTTGTCTATAATTTGAATATCTAATAGTGGATTTCATAGCCTACACTTTAGATCTAAACCAGTAAGAATCACTGCTTCCATTCTTGAGTTGAGGGGCAAATTTTCATGACCGATGATGTTTTCCTGCTGACTTTCCCACATGGTCCTTGCACTTTGGTCCATAGCCTTCTTGTTTACTTTAAAAATATTTGTTTCACTGGGTGGCTGTGCTACTAACCCCTGTGTTGAAACAGTTTTATTGACTGCATTTCTAAAGGTACTTACCATTCCATGTCCATCCGGCAAACCACTTTTTTTTTTCCCTTTCCTCAGCTGTGATGTTTTCTCGTGTATAATGTATATAATTATCATACGGTTTAACTCTTTCCCAAAAGGTGTGGTCTGTTTATCTACAGAAAGTGCTAGACTTGCTGGAGTGATAATCTGGTGACAAATATTCTCTCTGTAGCTGTGAGCAATTCACAATCTTTATACCTCTTTTCCCATCTGTCGAATTGACATAATTACATTTAACCAGCTGGTGGAGGTAATGTGACTATTAATTAGTTGATATGACTCTCATTCTTTGAACATGAAATATGCTTAAGTGGTGTTTTTCTTTGCTCAATTAGCAGTTTTGAAGTCTCTGAATAAAATCTTCATACATGCCTTCACACTGTTCAAGATCATCCTTCTTCTGTCAGCCCATTTCCTTCCTTTCCTTTCAGTGCTCTGGTTCATTTCACCAAGTGCTCTTACTTTTCTAATCTGGAGGAAAGGCTCCTTCCCTTAAGCAAGATAAATGTAATAGAAAGAGCGTTGGCTTTGATGTTTGGAGACCTGGGTTTGAATCTCCATGTTATCAGTTAATGACTGATTCTGGGCAAGGCATTTGGCTGGCCTAAATTTATCACTGCATCTGAAAAAAAGAAGTTTATTAACTCCTGCCATGCCTATGTGACAGGATGTGAGAGGGGACACTTGTAAACATGACTTCATAAGGTAAAGCAAGCTACTCTACAGGAATTAAAGTACATAGATTTTGAGATTACTCTTTAAGTAACTACAAAGAGAAAAATATTAAGAAATGGGATTCTTTCCTTATCAAGCCTCTCAAATGATGTGCTACTAAAGTGAACTTCAGCTCACTATTTTAAAAGGGTTTTAAAGAAACTTTTATAGCATGTTTGTTGTTTTGTTGAGACAGGACCTCAGTCTGTTGCCCAAGCTAGCCAGGAACTCCCATGCCACCCAGAGATCCTCCTGCCTCAGCCCCCTAATGCTGAAATCTCATAGGCATGAATCCCCTTCCCACTCTTAAGTTCTGTATGACTAGTGCTTCTGTGGTTGAGCAAATGTAATGGAGGAAACCAAAACCTGAGACTTGGAGAAGTCAATTGTGTGGGCCGTAAAGGAGTATGAGGTGGCCTTTGTGAAGTGATGTTTTCAGAGTTCTTGCTATTAGATGGTAGGTAACACAGCTAGGCAAGGCTGAGAATTGTGTTGCATGATAAAACCACATGTATGGTACTGAGTCTCATGAGGCTCTGGACTTGGACTAAGTTTGACGATGTGTATGTGTCTAAAAGTTATCATTCAAAGAGCTTTGTCACATTCATGGATTCTAGTGAGATATGAATGTCAATGCATATGGATAAATCTAACTGAACTTCATAGTATTCTCTATTAAAAAATAATTTCATGGAATTTTTATGCCAGAACTTACCTAGTTTTAATATTTTATACCTACTATCATACCTGGAATCAGACCAATTGATACTTGGGGGGCTGGAATGGGAATTTGTATAAAGCATTACTCTTTTTCAATAAATGTTTTTTTAATTAAAAGAAAAGCTTCTTGGCTTGTTTTCTAATGGCTTATTTTAAGACTGTTATGCTCCCATGAAGAGGATGCTTGCGGTGGGACCCTATTCACTATGTGTTTCTGTAAAACAGTCATGTTGTTATCAGGAAAATTGAGGTTTTTTCATTGGGTCTTAATCCTATAATAAAAGAATTTAGAAATAGTCTTAAAAGCAAATTTGAAGACAATCTTATTATTATCTGAAAGAAAAAACATTAAGCAGACAAACTGTAAATCTTAACAGTAGCCAGGAGGAAGGAAATGGAGAAGAGGAAGAAACAAAGTCATGCCTTTAAGAAAGTAGGCAGGTTCAGTGATGGAGGTCAGCAGGCAGGCACATGGCAGATGAGGGGCCTTCAGAGAAAGCTATGAGAATGCCCACAGTGGCCTGGGAAGCATGCCCACGCTTTGGCCAGTGTCCAAAGATGGGAAGAAGAAAAGGGGACAGCTATGCTTTCCTGAATAACTCACAAAAGTAAACAGACTGCTCAGTGACAAGACAGAAACTCTGCACTTGTTTGCACAGGGGAGGGGTCTCTGTGAAGGATTATTATTTTTTTAATATTTTATTTATTATTTTTATTTTATGCATATGAGTATTATGCACCCATGTCGTGCGATCTCCATGGAGGACAGAAGAGGCTGTTGGATTCCCTGGAACTGGAGTTATGGACAGTTGTTACCTGCCATGTTGGTGCTGGGATTTGAACCCAGGTCTTCTGCAAGAACAGTCAGTGTTCTTAACTGCTGAGCCATCTCTCCAGCACCAGTATATTATTATTAAGGGGAGAGTTCCTGACATATCCTTAGCACAGTTTCAGGTGGACCAGCTTTCCTTGGGGCTGGTCTTTTGGACAGTGATAGATTAATTCTTAAGAGAGGAGATGAAAGTATGCAATGTTCTAATCTTTGGAATATATCAGAATGGCATGTCTTCACCAAGGGCCGGAGGTAATAGCTTGCCATTAACAGGTCTCTACAGAACCCTTAATGGATTTCAACAAAGCCCCGATATTTATCTTCAGTGACCTCCAAGGCTATTGTAACATTTCCCCCCTCAGGAATGGAGACTCTGCAATCATTTAGGAGACAGACCAAAATTAGGGAGTAGACACAACTCATTTCCACTATGAAGATCCAGAGATCCAATTCCAAAGCTGTTGAGTAGTCAGCATCAGTGTCTGGACTGGAGTTTCAGTCACACTTTCACTATAACCTACACATAGGGGTGTCCATTTAGGAGAAGAGAAATAACAAGAAACCAGACCAGAAAACAAAACTATCTTCCTGCATCTCTGGTCCCCAGCCAGGACAGGACCAAGGACATTTCCAGCTTTGGACCAAGAATAAGAACTAAGCTGCTGCTTTTGGGGTCCCTGCCCTAAAAAGCCTGACTGGTTTCTCTCTCCTGCCCTCATTGGTACTGCCTCTGGCCCATCTGTCTATCAAACATTTGCATGGCTCCACACAGTACAGTGTTCATTTCTCTCAAAATGGTCCCCTCTCCTGGCTGGTGATCAAGATACCAAGAGATGTTACTTAATTCTTCTTCGGTTTCCACCCGTAAAAGGACACACAACAGAGAATGAATGAAGAGTAAAAGACATAGTGTAGAGACTCATTTTATTTTTGTAGTGGTTATCATGAAAACTACCTCTTAGTAATGAGTGATGAAATCATTCAGTCATTATCTTACTGTATCAGCCATGAGAGAACCTTAAGTGTGGCCCCTCCCTGAGTAATTTTCATATGAATGACACTGGGGGTGTGAGCATTAGTTTCAATTCTACTGTGCAGTCTCGTATTTCCAGGTTGGGTGAGAGACAAAAATCTTTGCCTGGCAGTTTGACTTCCCCTTAAATTGAATGGAGGCAGCCGAATCAGCACCCTCTGTAAAGGTGAGGTCCAGGGCAACAAAGTCTGAAGAAATAAAAATTTCTAGGTGTTTTAACTAGAGCTGGAGGAAAATTGGACTGTAAATCATCCCAAGGAGACCCATACCACCCTCATCCTCCTCTGAGGGCCTTTGTCCTACAGATCATGTTTTTTCCTTCCCTGGGTTAGTAGGCTACACACTCCCACATGCAGGGGAATTCCCACATTGTTTGGTCGATCATTAACATGTTACAATGATCTGATAGTGTGTTTCCCTCCTTTTTTTGTGTGGGAGGGATTTGTACTTTCCCATCCTCTTCCCCATGTATACCAGCTCACTCTAAAATCTCTTCATTTAGCTGGAAACTCTGAAAGAAGCCATCTTCAGGCTCAAAGTTATATGGGAATATCTTCTTGAGGACAAATCTCCACAAGCATCATGGCATTTTGTGTACTTGACTTTCACAGATCGTTTTCCAAAGTAGCTAATACTGGCAATTGGCCAGTTTTATGGGCCCAGCTCCATAAATTCAGGCAGAGTAAACAATGTGTTAAAATAATGTGCATGTAATGAGCATGAATAATGTGAAGGCTGTCCAGGTCCAGCAGGAAGAGAAATGACCTTGAAATGGTGCTCCAACTCTGCCCCTGACAGCCATGGAAATCTTCATCCACTGTTTCTGCTTCCAGGGGTGTACCCCAAACCAGTAGTTCAGAACCTCTGAGGGGAGGGTTCTCATTTGAGCTTCCCACTGAGTCCAAATTACAGCTGCCATTTGAACCACTGGGCTACACTATATCTTAAGACCAATCCTACCCTAATATGCTGAGTAAACACACATGAAGGCACATGGGGGTCTGCATTGCTATCTTCCCATTTTTTTCTCTCAGGTTACTATTTTATATTCTGATGTTGGGCTTTCAGCATTCCTTTCACTGTGTTTAATATAAGAGATTAAAGGATCAGAGGTCCTCAGATATATTTCCCATATTTCTCTGCCCCACAAGCTCTTTTCTTGCCCTTCTCTGTTATTTCAAATGTATACCTACAGTCATTCATGCACAACACAAACTGTTTTGAAGGATGGTTCTTCAATTGGCAGCTATGTGATCTCAGGTGAAGAAGTGACCACGTACAACATGGGTCAGAATTATTCTTATTTTAAGTGAATTTTCAGGAGAGTCTTTACCTAAACCTAAATCTTAGTCTTGCTTCATGTGTTTTAAAAGTGAATGATATTTTTGTTATTTCTAATTTATATATTTCCTCATTTCTGTGACGTACTGCTTTTATCTACCCCTCCCCCCACAAAGAAAAGGAAAATAGGAGGCTGAAGAAGTGGCTCAGTGGTTAAGAGCACTTGCAGTTCTTGCAGAAAACCCATATTCAGTTTCCAGTACTACATGGTGGCTGACAAACATCTGCAAAGCCAGTTCCAGGGGGATCCAGTGTCTTTTCTGACCTCTGCAGGCATTGTACACATGTGATTCACATATATACATATAGGCAAAACACTCATATACATAATTTTTTAAAATCAAATTTAAAAAGAAAAGAAAGGAAAATAGAACTCAAGAGCACACACACACACACACAATTAAGGAAATTAAAATTTGAAAGCTGGCTTATTATTCCCTAATTGACCTGAATTAGAGCACACTGTTACCTCAAGTGATATAAGGAAAGTGGGGGGCCTTGCACTTAGTGGAGGCCTTTTTTTTTTTTCACTTCAGGTGGGCTTTAACTCAGAAGTTAGAGTGCCAAGTGCTCCCAGTCACACAAAACCTCCACTGAGTCAATGCCTTTCAGGTTCTTGTCTCTGAATTTAAAGAATGAAATTCAGGGTCCACCAAGGGTGAGTTTCAGAAAAAAGTTTATTATAGATTCAGAGGTAGGAGCAAGGGGGGTGGGGCAGAGCTCCTATACAGCAGGAGTGGTCCTAGAAATAGGGTACCATCAGGCTGGTAGTCTGGGTTTTTTTTTACAGGACCATCAGGCTGGTAGTCTGGGTTTTTTTTTACAGGACTGATGGCAGGAACAATACTGTTAAGCAGACATTTTGGTGAAGTTTACCACTTACCTGAAAATATTTCTTCAAAGATGAAATTCAAGAATGATAAAGATCATTCAATTCAGCAGGGACAGGGATTTTCTTTATTTTGATGATCTTTTGGCACGTTAATTTTTCTGATAAGATTAAAATATATTAATGGAAGTAGGAAAATTAATTTGTTTTTTTAAAATATTTTATTTATTATCTTTTATTTTATGTGTATGAGTGTATTGCCTGCATGTAGGTAAGTGCACCTGTGTTATGCAATGCCCACGGAGGACAGAGGGGCCATCATGTCCCCTGGAACTGGAGTTACAGACAGTTGTTAGCTGCCATGTGGGTGCTGGGATTTGAACCCAGATCTTCTGCAAGAACAGCCAGTGTGCTTAACTCCTGAGCCATCTCTCCAGTCCCACAAAATTACATTCATATTTGTTCATTTTGTGCTACAGTACATGTATGGAGGCAATGACAACTTGCAGGAGTCATTTTTCTCCTTCCACTACGTGGGTCTCAGGGATTGAACTCGGGTTGCCAGGCTTGGTGGCAGGTGGCTTTCCCTGCCCAGTCTCTTTACCAGCCCCTAAGAAATAATTTAAGGGAGACAAAGAAGCAAATCAAGGGGTTATCCTGTGGGAAACAACATTCTACATACAGTAGGTCCTAGGATAGAATCATAAACAAAATGCTCAAGAAAGAGTAGAGGCTGGGGTATCACAAATGGATTAAGCCAGGGAATGATAATAGGTCATGAAGTGATAGAAGAAAGGGCATTCTAAAATATGCAGACTATGGCAAGCATTCTAAGGGCTTCACCCTTCACTTAAAGTGGAAATACATTGTTGGGTTTTGAACAGAGGAAAAACAAAATTATCTACATTAAAATGTTATAGGAGGGGCTGCAGAGCTGGCTTAGGGGTTAAAAGCCCTGGCTCCTCTTGCAAAGGTCCTGGGTTTGGTTCCAAGCCCCTACATGGTGACTCAGAACTATCTGTAACTCCAGTTTTAGGGGTTCTTACACCTTCTTCTAGTCTCCTTGAATACTGTGCATATGT